TACATACATGTTCATAGCAGCTTCATTAGTAATACTGAAAACTTGAAAATAATCCTGTTATCCTAATATGGGTGAATGAGTAAACAAACTGTGGTATATCCACACTATGGAATACTATTTGGCATTAAAAAAGGAATAAAATGTTGATATATGCAACAACTTGGATGAATCTCCAGGGAATTATGCTAAGTGGAAAAAGTTAAACTCAAAGGGTCACAGATATATGATATCATTTATGTAACAGTTGTGAAATGACAAAATTCTAGAGCTAGAGAACAGATTAGCATCAGGGGTTAGGGACATGGGCTGAGGATGTGGAGGGTGCAAGGGTAGCAGGTGTGAGTGAAGGGTACCTGGAATCTCTCCATTTCCTTCCTTCCTTCCCTACCTCCCTTCCTTCCTTTCTTTCTCTTGACAGAGTCTTCTTCTGTCACCCAGGCTAGAGTGCCGTGGCGTCATCATAGCTCACTACAACCTCATACTCCTGGGCTCAAGCAATCCTGCCTCAGCCTCCCGAGTAGCTGGGACTACAGGCGCATGCCACCATGCCTGGCTAATTTTTTCAATTTTTAGTAGAGATGGGGTCTCGCCCTTGCTCAAGCTGGTCTTGAACTCCTGACCTCAAGCAATCCTCCCATTTCAGCCTCCAGACGTGAGCCACCGTGCCTGACCCTCTCTGTATTATTTCTTACAATTGCATGAGAACCTACACTGATCTCAAAATCAGAAAGTTTCATTTTTTAAAATGCACAGCTCACACAGAACAGTTGTGTATCTAGTTTAGATCGTGCCTACAGACTAGTAACCAGAGGATGGTGAGAACAAGGTGGGCTGGGAGGGAATGTTCTGGAGGCAGAAGGGAAGAACAAGCAAGAGCATGGTGCTGAGAGCCACGCTGCCTGGGTTCGAATCTTGGCTCCGACACATGCTTGCTCTACAGCCCTGGCTAAGTTACCTCCTTCCTCTCTGCCCCACTCCCCTCATCTGTGAAATGTGGGTGAGTTAATATGCAGAAATCACTTAGAGCCTCACCTGATATGTAGTTAGCACTCAAGAGGTTGTTGTCATTTCTATTATTTCACCTAGGAAGGACGTGCTTAACTGGAAACGTTAGCTTACTTCTTAAAGTAATACTGTAAAATCACATCACGTGAATATTTAACTCATAAGATTTCACTATTCATGCTCTGGGGATAACTAACATATATGATATAAAATCATTTGTATGACTATTCAGATTTGCCATATTACTTCATTCTTCTCCATCTTTATCTGAATTTGTGTAATAAAAGTAATATGCATTATTAAAAATAAAAAATAACAGTAACATATTATAACCCATGGAATTAAATAGGGACCCATGAGTCCATACTGACATAAATAAATTGAAAATTTTATGAGGAACAGGATATTTATTAATACATGATCACAAAGTGCCTCTCTACAAACTACTTATTAATTTAAAAGGGGAAAAGAGTTAACTTCTTTTTAATTGTAGAGATGGGGGTCTTGCTATGTTGCCCAGGCTAGGGTTGAACTCCTGGCCTCAAGAGACCCTCCTGCCTTGCCTCCCAAAGTGCTGGGATTACAGGCATGAGCCACTGCGTCCAACTGAGAAAATGGTAACTTTATGGTGGAGAAGCCATGGCAGTCCCCATGATTACTTTTATCAAGTAATCATGGGGACTGCCACTGGTGGTAGGCCAAACTGATATCACGGGCCACCTGATTGGCCACACTCAGGACACAGCATTACTTCTATGACATAGATGTCACTTCTGTGATATCTCTGATAAAGATATATAACCTGGATCTAATCATAAGGAAATACTAGGCATATCCGAATTGAAGGACATTGTACAAAATACTGCCCTGTAATCTTCAATAGGTTATTAAAGACAAAGAAAGACTGAAGAACTCTTCCCGATTAAACATTAAAGCAACAACAATTAAATGCTAAACACAATCCTAAATTGGATCATTTTGATGGAATAGACATTATTTGGATAATAGGTGAAATTTGAATGGGGTCTGAGGTAGTCATATGAGTTTCCTGATTTTGCTGGTTATCTTGTGGTTATGTGGTGTTTTGTTTTTTTTCCTACTAAGAGCTGATCAGAAAGAAAGTTATGAGGTTCTTATCTGCAGAAAGCACTGAAGTATTCAGGGATGATGGAACATCAGGTTGGCAATCTAATTTCAAATGGTTGAGGAAAAAAAGAGAATAAAAAAGGTATTTTCATTATACTTGCATCTTTTCTGTATATAAAATAAAATTAATACTATTAAATGAAAACTATTAAAACAAAACAAAATTTATTCATCAAAACTATCAAAAAGGGAAAAGAAAAGCCACAGATTGGGAGAAGATAGTTTCTAGGCATATAATGGACAAATGATTAATATCCAGAATATAAAATAGCATTTAAAAAAAGATGGAAAACTACATAGAAAAACATGCAAGAAATTTAAAGAAGCAATTGACAAAAGAGGCAAATAATCATATAAAAGATGTTCAGCCTCATTAATACAACCTCTTGAATACCAAGTATGGTAGTCACTATGCAATTAGTCTAATACTAGAGATTTTCCAATACTAAGAAACCTGTGAAATTGTTGGGGCTCAGAAAACCATACCCCAAGGTGAAGGCATCAGAAGCAGCCCCAGAAACAAAGTTTCTTACTGACCTTCTTTCTCCTGCCCTCCTGTCTCACTCACTCCTCATCCTCTTCCCCCTTCCAGGGAAGCCATAGAAACTAGAATCCCTCTTCCCCAAAGTGGGTCATAGATCCCAGAATCCCTTTCCCCAAATCCAGCCATAAAACCTAAAAATATTACTCTAACCTTCCCCCACCTTTCTGTGTAAGAAGTGGCCACAAAGTAATTCTCTGACCTATTTTGTCTGATTGTAGGTCACAAAACCCACATTCCAGGAGGGGGGGTCCTGCTCCATACTGGGGAGGAAGGAATGCTGCACAGAGAGGCCAAGAAGAATCTGAACAGACAAACCTTGCTGAATTTCCCCACTCAGTCTATGACACCATTAGATCATACCCTTTTTGTTCAATCACAGTTCTACACAGCTGTCCATTCATTGAACTTAAGCATAAAAATGGATGCTTTCCCCCACATCCTTAGGTCTTCGATCTGAAGGCTCCCATGTCATGTAAAACTATGATCAAATAAATTTGTCATGCTTTTCTCTTGTTAACTTGTCTTTGTTATAGGGGTGTCAGCTGTGATCCTGTCAATGTAAAATAATCAAAAGGGTCAGAATCTAGTTGAAAGAGAGATTATTTTATTTATTTTATTTTTTTTTTGAGACAGAGTCTCGCTTTGTTGCACAGGCTAGAGTGAGTGCCGTGGCGTCAGCCTAGCTCACAGCAACCTCAAACTCCTGGGCTCAAGGGATCCTCCTGCCTCAGCCTCCCAAGTAGCTGGGACTACAGGCATGTGCCACCATGCCCGGCTAATTTTTTGTATATATTAGTTGGCCAATTAATTTCTTTCTATTTATAGTAGAGACAGGGTCTCGCTCTTGCTCAGGCTGGTTTCGAACTCCTGACCTCGAGCAATCCGCCCGCCTCGGCCTCCCAGAGAGCTAGGATTACAGGCGTGAGCCACCGCGCCTGGCCGAAAGAGAGATTATTAAAGAACGAGGTTTAAGGATGGCCGTCTGGGGAGCATAGATTCCAAAGAATGGAAGTCAGTGTTCTAAAGTGTAGGAAGTTTGGGATCGCTTATATGGACAAGTTTAGGGAGCTTAACAGAATTTCAACATCTTTCTATGTAAGGCTTAATGCATAGTTACAATGACCTGATTAGTTGAGATGGTCTTTTTCTTTCAGGAAAGGTATATTTAATATTCCAAACTGGCATGGTAGCTCACGCCTATAGTCCCAACACTTTGGGAGGCTGAGACAGGAAAATCACTTGAGCCCAGGAGTTCAAGGCTGCAGTGAGGCTGTGGTCACATTACTGCTCTCCAGCCTGGGAGACAGAGTGAGACCCTATCTCAAAAAAGCAAAAACAAAAAAAACCCAAAACATTCCACCCTGAAGATGTAACAGACATAGGGTCCTTTGCACCTTCTCGTCTGAGGTAGGCACAGAACAATAAAGGAGGCAGTTAATTTGTAACAAATATCAGTGATTGATAGGCAGGGATGTCTGGTCTCTGGTCTCTTCTAGTCATTTACAGAACAAGAGCAACGAGGAAGAGAATTAATCCATAATCTAGAAGCAGAATTGCAAATACGCTAGGCGGCTTAGTCTCCAGGGCTTAATTTCTCCCTTGGCATAATAAATTTAGCAGGTCCTGAAATTTTTTGTGGAGATGGGGGATCTTACTATGTTGCCAGGTTTGTCTCAAACTCCTTGCCTCAAGTGATCCCCCTGCCTTGGCAGGCCCCTATTAATTATTTTAAATGACTCATCTCTTACAAATTTAAGATGAAGGAAATGAAAGCCTTTTTCGCCTTACGAACTTGGAGTTTTTGATGCCAAAATAGCATGTACCAGAAGTTCAAGGTGCTGCGGCTTTTCTCTATTCAATGTCCTGACATGGTTCTATTTTTGGTAATGATTAGTTTAATTGTCTGTTCTATGGCATTTTCTTCCTCTACATCTCACTACTTATAAAACTGCAGAATTTAAAGGGTTCTGAAAATTTTCTTCCACTAAAAGTTTCCACCATTTTCCCTATGTGTTATTTTTCTGAGAAATTCAAATAACTTTCAAATATTTCTAGGGTGCCCTAGTAGTTACTTGGAGGAAAAAAACCCTCAATATCTATTTTACTCTTCACACCAAAAGCAATTTCATCTGGATAGAAATTTTAAATGTAAAACAAAAAAACAAAATCTAAACAATGACCAAAAAAACCAACTTAAAAGTATTGAAACAAGGGTAAATATTTTTATAATTGACAAATATAGCAGTCATGAATGAAAAAGATTTGATGAATTAGGCCCCCTGAAATTTTAATTGTTTCCATATGCTTCTGAGCATTTTGCTGTTCTTATACCAAGGTAAGTTTTTTAAGGAAAATGAGATCAGTGAGTACTTATTGCTCTGCAAGTTATTTTTATTCACTTGGCAATAAAATAATGGCACCTTTCCAAAAGAGCACATTTGTTTTCATGGATGTATTAGTACCTCATTATATGAACTTCTATAATGTATTTAGATATTACCCTCTTTGTTAATATCTTAACTAAGTTATATGAGGAGCAAAGAATGAGTTTACACTAACACTAATAATATGTAAAGATTCTAACCAAAGGGTTTCAAGTGTCTATTACCAATGGTTTCATGATTTCCTCTGCTGTGGCTGGAGACAAGTGATTCTGAGAAGAAAAATGCTGAGTCACAGACATATTTTATATTCCCCAAGTGTTAAGAAGTTTAAGATTAAAAACAAACCCACAAAAGTTCATTAAGTTTCTGAAGACAATAAAATTATTGATATGGAAAATTACATAGTGTTGCTTTCCAGAGTGATCATTAAACTGCCCCATTTTAGTTATTAGCTTTTAAAAATAAACTTAACACATCAATACTTTTCAGGTGTGGCTAATGAAAAAAGGAGGGGCATGAACTTTCTAATTTGACCACCTAAATATTATATCTTCCAAGCACTTTCCAACTTGTGTCAAATCAAATGAATATTTAGTTGTTTTCTTTGGTTCTCAGAATATTTCCCCTACATTTTCCATGGCTTGTTTCTTTCCAGAAAATTCCCTGGACAGAATTTTGCACACAGCCCAGCAGAGGGCCCTGCATTCTGAACCGCAATCAGGCATACACAGAAGATACTGCAGACAGCAATCAGCAAATCCAGAACGAGGACTCCTTTTCTGACACACTCCACCCACGGGGCTCAGGTTCCAGTTCCAGCAGGTCAGCTAACAACCGATGGCATCTGCACTTCCTTTTAGATAGGAGACAGTAGCAATGGTTTCTAAGAATAACCAGTGGTTCTGGGAAAGATTCCCATTGTGTGGATTAGCATGCAAGTATTTTATATTACAGCTTTTATTCCCCTAGGATTCCCATTCTCATTTAAAAATGTGTTTAACAGATATAGAGACATATAAATGCTTAAGAAAAACACATTAAAAAGGAATACATCACAATGGTAAATCATGATTCTTACTGAAGAGATTATGGCTGATTTTGCTATATACTTTTACTTTCCAGATTTTACACCATTAAATGGCTTTTTTTTTTTTTGAAACAGGGTCTTGCTCTGTTCCCCAGGCTAGAGAGCCATGGCGTCATCATAGCTCACTGCAACCTCAAACTCCTGGGCTCAAGTGATTCTCCTGCCTTAGCCTCCAGAGTAGCCTGGGACCACTGGTACAAGCTATCACACCCAGCTAATTTTTCTGGGTTTTTTGTAGAGATGAGGGTCTCACTTTTGTTCAGGCTGGTCTTAAATTTCTGGCCTCAAGGAATCCTCCTGCCTTAGCTGCCCAAAGTGCTAGGATTACAGGCATGAGCCACTGTGCCCTGGTTCTTTTGTTTTGAAAATTCCATTTTCATTTTTTTTTTTTTGGACAATGCAATGAGTGCATGAATATTCCATTTTCAAAAAGAGAAAATATAGAAGTTTGAAAAAGCAAGAGATAGGAAATATATATATTTGCTTATCAAAAAGATTCAATCTGAAACAGTTTGGAGAATTATAAAAAAAGATTCAAAACAATTGGAGCAATTTTTAAACATATTTATTAAAATAATTTTTAGTCAGGTGCAGTGGCTCAGGCCTGTAATCCCAGCACTTTAGGAGGCCGAGGAAGGAAGATAAACTTGAGGCCAGAAGTTTGAGACCAGCCTGGGCAACATAGTGAGATCCTGTCTCTACAAAAACCAAAAAGTTACTCGAGAGGCTGAGGCAGGAGGATAGCTTGAATACAGGAGTTTGAGGCTGCGGTGAGCTATGATGACGCCACAGCACTCCAGTCTGAGCAACAGAGTGAGAAACAAAGAATTTTTAGAATTTTTAGTATAAAATAATAAACAGGAAAATGATTTATTTAGCCTCTATCTAAATAGTCATTTGAACCATTTCAGCTAAAAAGTGGAAGCATCCATCTATGTCCAGAGGGCACAGATCTCTTTTCGGGAAACAACTGAGAAAATTGTACCAGGCTGGGCTCTGTGGCTCACGCCTGTAATCCTAGCACTCTGAGAGGCTGAGGCAGGAGGATCGCTCAAGGTCAGAAGTTCAAGACCAGACTGAGCAAGACCAACCCCAGCTCTACTAAAAATTGAAAAAATTAGTCTAGTATGGTGGTACTCACCTGTAGTCCCATCTACTTGGGAGGCTCAGGCAGGAGGATCGCTTGAGCCCAGGAATTCGAGGTTGCTATGAGCTATGATGATGCTACTGCACTCTAGCCTGGGTGACAGAGTGAGACCCTGTCTGGAAAAAATAAAAAAATAGGGGCCGGGCTTGGTGACTCACACCTATAATCCTAGCACTCTGGGAGGCCCAGGCGAGCAGATTGCTCAAGGTCAGGAGTTTGAAACCAGACTGAGCAAGAGCAAGACCCCATCTCTACTATAAATAGAAAGAAATTAATTGGCCAACTAAAAATATATATAGAAAAAATTAGCTGGGCGTGGTGGCACATGCCTGTAGTCCCAGCTACTCGGGAGGCTGAGGCAGGAGGATCGCTTGAGCCCAGGAGTTTGAGGTTGCTGTGAGCTAGGCTGACGCCATGGCACTCACTCTAGCCTGGACAACAAAGCAAGACTCTGTCTCAAAAAAAAAAAAAAACAAAAAAAAAATGTGGTTATCATATTCAGGGAATTTAACATTAAATCAAATATTACCTAATCCACAGTCTTTATTTAAATTTTGCCAATTTTCCTAATAATACCTTTTAGAGCAATTTTTTCCTAGTCTAGGATATAATCCAGGAATCACACATACCATTTAATTGTCATATTCTTTTTACTCACTTTTAATCTGAAAAAGTAGATTTGTCCCCAGTAGCTTTGATCATGTGGTTAAGGTGATGACTGCCAGGTTTCTCTATTGTAAAGTTACTGTTTTTCTCTTTCTAATTAATAAGTATCTTGTAGGGAGCTACTTTGATGATAAATAGGATATTTTATAGACTTAAACTCCTCCCTCCCATTTAGTATTCATTCATTATTCTTGCCTAAATCAAGAATAGTGGGGAAAATGGTGGTTTTCTAACTCTATCACTTTCTCTACATTTAATAATTGTATTCTACTGTCTGGTGAAAAAATAGACAGATTGATCAATGGAATGGAATACAGATCCCAGAAATAGACCCACACAAATATGTTCAATATGTTGTTGACAAAGGAACAAAGGCAATTCAATGGCAGAAGGATAGTCTTTTCAAAAGACAAAATTAGCCAGGTGCAGTAGCTCACACCTGTAATCCTAGTACTTTGGAAGGCTGAGGCAAGAGGATCACTTGAGGCCAGGAGTTCAAGACCAGTGTGGGCAATGTAGCGAGACCCTGTCTCTACAAAAAATAGAAAAATTAGCCGGGTGTGGTAGCACGCGCCTGTAGTCTCAGCTACTCGGGAGGCTGAGGCAGGAGGATCACTTGAGCCCAGGAGTTCGAGATTGCAGTGAGCTACGATGACACCACTGCACTCTAGCCTGGGTGACAGAGAGAGATCCTGTCTCAAAAAAAAAAGTACAACAAATTTAGTTATAGATCTAATTGGCTTATGTTTATGATTCACGAATGAGGGCAGCCTCTATTCTATAAAATAGAATGAGACCTCCCACTGGGCAATGGCAGAACAATGGGTTTTTTAGGTGGGAACAGAATAATAGAAAATAGTTGATTGGTTAATATCAGATTACTTCAGGTTATTTTTTTATAAGGGTTAAAGCAGTGGAGATTTCCTTATTACGCTTACTCAGGTAGATTGGAATCTCTGGTTTTTAGGAAAATTGGTCTGTTGGGGATCTATCTGCTTCCCTAAAATTTCAATTTGACTATGTGGCATTTAGCAGGAGTTGACTCCATTTTGGTTTGGTCTGGTCTGCTGGGGCCTGGTGCAGTAGCTCAGTCCATAACAATGGTTTCCCATAATTTTATTTAACAATCCTTTAAACAAATGGTGCTGCAATAATTGGACATCATGTGCAAAAAAATTAATCTAGACACAGCCATTACACCTTTCACAAAAATTAACTCAAAATGGATCTTGGACCTAAGTGTAAAATGCAAAACTATGAAACTTTTAAAAGATAACATAGAAGAAAGTCTAGGTGAACTTGGTTTTGGTGAAGAGTTTTAAAATATAATGCCTGATCCATGAAAGAAAAAATAATGATATTGGACTCTATCAAAATTAAAAAAAAACAAAAAACTTCTGCTTTGAAAAAGACACCATTAAGAGAACCAAGAAAGAAGCCACAGGCTCAGAAAACGTATTTGCAAAACACATATCTGAGAAAGGACTTGTATCCAAAATATACAAAGAATTTTTAAAATGCAACAATAAGAAAACAAATATCTCAATGTAAAATGGGCAAAATATCTGAACTGAACCTCGTCAAAGAAGAAGATATGTAGATGGCAAATAAGTATATGAAAAGATATTCAACATTACATGTTATCTGGGAACTGTAAATTAAAACAACAATGAGATACCTCTACATGGCTATTAAAATGGCTAAAATCCAAACAAACTGACAAATGCTAGGGAGGATGGAGAGTGACAGGACTGCTTGTTCATTGCTGGTGGGAATGCAAAATGATACAACCACTTTGGAAGATAGCTTGGCAATTTCTCACAAACCTAAACAGTCTTACGGTACTGCCCAATTCAGTAGAAAACTAATGTCCGGGGCCAGGTGCGGTGGCTCATGACTGTAATCCTAGCTCTGGGAGGCCAAGGTGGGAGGATGGCTCAAGGTCAGGAGTTTGAAACCAGCCTGAGTAAGAGTGAGACCCCGTCTCTACTAAAAATAGAAAGAAAGTAGTTGGACAACTAAAATTATATACAAAAAATTAGCCTGGCATGGTGGCACATACCTGTAGTCCCAGCTACTTGGGAGGCTGAGGCAGAAGGATCGTTTGAGCCCAGGAGTTTGAGGTTGCTGTGAGCTAAAAGGCTGATGCCATGGCACTCTAGCCCGGGCAACAGAGTGAAACTCTGTCTCAAAAAACAAATAAATAAATAAATTAAATAAAATGAAATAAAAAGAAAACTAATGTCCAAACAAAACCCGCTCATGGATATTTTTAGCATCTTCGTTCATAATTGCCCCAAACTAAAATGAATCCAATTGTTCTTCTATAGATGAATAGGTAAACAAACTGTGGTAGATTCATACAATGAAATGTTATTCAGTGATAAGAAGGAATGAGCTATTTTGAGACAGGGTCTCACTCTGTCATCTGGACTAAAGTGCAGTGGCATCAACATAACCCACTGCAATCTCAAACTCCTGGGTTCAAGAGATCCTCCCGCCTTAGCCTCTCAAGTAGCTAGGACTACAACCCTAATTTTTCTATTAATATATTTTTAAATAGAGATGGGATATCACTATGTTGCCCAGGCTGGTCTCAAACTCCTACGCTCAAGCAATTCTCCCGCCTTAGCCTCTCAAGTAGCTGGGATTACAGGCTTGAACCACCAAACCTGGCTTAAGATTTTTAGTTTTATTTATAACTTTTAAATATTGATATATATGGTATATGGCCTCTATTTGCATTCTTACTTCAGAATCTGCTAGGGGTGGGCTTAGAATTATGTAGATATTCTTCTTAAAGAAAAGTAAGTTTGGAAGACTTATTCCACCAGATGTCAGAATGTACATAAATTAGGGCAGTGTGGTAATTAGTGATGCAGGGATAGACACACGGATAAATGAAGCTGAATGGAGAGCACGGAAGTATGCCCAACGTAGTATGCCCTTGGTC